GGGGGGGGGGGGAAGAGGCTCTCTTTAGAGACGGCAATGGGTGAAGGTAAATGCAGCAGCTTAATGCCAGGGTGCTTCTGAAGACCCCTCTGTAACTGTGCCACAAGGCCTTTGTTTTTTATTAAATACGAAGCTTCTGGGCGTTGGTCTTCGGTGTTACATAGCCATACGAAGTTGCAGGTAGACACCAAATGCACCGCCTCATTCCTCAGGACTTAAGTCCTTAAAGATGGAGGCAGTTATTTCGCCTACAAGTCCACGGAGCATCGCAACCCACAAGGCCAACAACGACAACTTCAACCAACCTAAAAGCAAACAAAGGACTCCGTCCCTTGCCAGATTAAATCATTCCTGCGAGCGAAACGCAAAGCTGGAATTGGTAAACGGTGTTTTGTAGACTCCGATTGTTATGTTTACCCTGACGGGATTGCTGTGATGGCCTGAGGCTTCGACATGCTCAGACTACAGCCTACTGCTGCTGTTGGTGGGAGGATGACTCCACCAGGCAACTCGTCCTTTGGTTGGATAGAAGTTTATATAGTAGCTGAATATAGAAGGGCTAGGATCGTTTGGCTGAAATCTAGAATTGATAGAGATTTGCGTGGTAGTAGGGCGGGACTTGAACGCGTATTCCACATAACTCCATGGGGGCTGTCATGCTGGGGGAAAAAAACACAGTATCTTAGCTAATAGAAAAATAATTATAAGATTTTATGGAATCCAAACGTTCACTTCGTGTTCGCACGTCTGACGAATGCAGTTCACGTTAGCGATATAACATAAATTTTTAAGGGAAGACGCAACTAGCGAGAAGGATCACTATCTTCACATTTCGTACAATTATGATTCACGGTGAATGTCAGCATAGAGTTTCTTTCATAGTGTTAGGATTTTTCTACGTTTAATACCTTAACAATTCATGACGTAACTCATAAAATACTATGAGATAGCAAAAGCTACTATCAAAGGTAAAACACAATATTTATTGTCGGTATCTTCATTTTTAACAGAGTCAGAAGATAACAAGTGATCGACATATCAAAGCTGATAATGCACGTAACACTGCAACGTAATACCTCGCGAAGCAAACGCCATATCGCTTGTTACCCGTCAATGGCTTCTGAATAGATTTCGTAACTCAACTGCATTTTTCTCAGACTTTCACCAAGCATGTTGGCAGTACTGTAAAACACATGACTCGTATTTGCGGGGCAACAAATTTAAGATCGTCCCTGTGTTTAATAATGCAACGCGCCATTAAGATGATTTTATTTTATTTAGTGTTCTGTCTGACGACAGGTCCATATGAACAGGATCCTTCCATCCTTTTCTCGGGCTGGGACCTGTTCATATACGTTCTTGGCAGATGATCCAGAAGTGGTTTGCCATTGCCTTCTTCTGTGTATGAATGGAGTAATTGTTGGGATGCCACGGAGGAAAACTCCGTGTTGCCTAGACCACGGCCTTGCCCAACACAAGTTATAAATTCGGGCACCGCCGGGAATCGAACCCGAGACCCCAGGATTACAAGGCCAGCGTTCTAACCGCTAGACCACCTCATCTTATTATTAAGATGTATGGAGAAGAAATGGTGATAGCTCCATTAATTCTTGACTTCGGCACTAGACGGGGATGAGTGGCCAGCGTTACCCTTTGGAAAAGTCCTCTGGCACTAACCGGACAGAAGGTTGGATTCGCAGTGAAGAGGAAAACCCCTGCCGAGAATCGAAGCCCGATGGTTGAGCCGGAAGCCTAGTCCCTCTACCGACCGATCCATTTCGACTCCCAGTAACACGTTCGAATCCTGACCAGAACCAAACATCCAGCGTCTTTTGTATTTATCCTTATTATACCGTGCCGTAATATTTTCAAGGACACGGCCCACTTATGGGCACGGATGATTTCGTATCGGGTTGTCAACGCCTGCACAATGGTGTACTGGAGGAACATACTGTCTCCATCTTCTGGGCTGAAGGAGATTAACTAATAAACAAAGCTCATAAATTTCCACCTGTTGCCAAGGACCAAGCGCCGCTGGAAAGTGTATGCTGCGATGCTGAAATTCTTTCACACTATACGCATTACTTACGTGGCGGAGAAGTTGCCGAAGTAATAAGGCGTTACGAACAAATTTTAATAAAACATTGCAGTTCATAACAGAACGGACTATCCGAGAGAGACGACAATTGGGATTCGGTGTTACCCTTCTCATGACGCCATGGATTACGTTCAAGTTTGTGAGATTTCAGGTTCTCACGGCAGCGAGAGTGAAGATGGGTGTCTTCTGGGACGTTGCGTTGAAACCACTACCAAAATTTTTGCTCTTCTTAACTCAACTTTAATTTTCACATAAGAGCGTGGGAAATGCCACTTAAATGTCACAAAGAAAATATAAACGAAGAACAAGAATTTCAGTGACTGCATTATAAAAGTCAAGTCAGTTAAACATTTAAAAAATTTGGAATGCATCTGCCGAGATTTTTCCAAGAGTCTCCTAAAAGACATGTCTCGATGGGACAAACCTCGTTTGAAGAGCCAACCCTCCTTGACTATGTTGGCAGTCGGTGGAACCCCCCCACTGCCAGGCCCCCCCGCCACCTCCGTCATCTGCAACACAAACATATTTATCAGCAATCACCAACGTAGTCATCGAAACAATGAAACAAATCACGAAAATGATTTCAAGCAGCGTCCCTGAAATATACATTTAACTCAAAATTATTTGATGGTTTCAAATGTAGAGATTATTTAGTGAACAGCCTTATGAATAGTTTTACAACATTACGCATTGGGTCCGGATCCTCAATAAATGGACCACAAGGCAAATTACGCATGGAAAAAAAAATGGTAAAGACGACAAATAAACGGACAAGGCTGTGGACTGAGAAGACTGGTCGTGCGATTTTATCAGTATAGAATTGTTCACATAACGAGGATTCGCACTGTCTCACTAATTCCGAGAACGCATTCCCTGAGTACGCGAGGCCAAGTGTAGGCCTGCTTGAAGCAAGCCTACACATCTTCCGAAGGCAACCATTTCGGGCGTAGAAGACATGCAACTCTCACCTTGAAGCACTATGCTAAATAACTGGACGTCGGTTTCCTGTTTAGCTGTTATTCCCTTTGTTAATGAATGTTGAGGCGTTGCAACTTTTTTCAGGCATAAAGGAACTGAGTCATTTTATTGAAAACATACAGAGAGCGAGAGAGAGACAGAGATGGAGAGGAAAACATGTAAGTATCGGTTCGTACTGCACCAACATTTCAATTCTCATTTTAAAGAACATAATTCATCTACCGTCACACAGCCAAAAAAATTTCGCACAGCAGCTAGGCAATTTTTCGTTCAAAATCATCTCGAAAAAATCAGTATTTTATATAAAATACGTCCATATTTCAGGGACAGCTTAGTTACTGTAGTGACTGAATATGACCTGGGCAAAAAGGGGTTCGATTTCCGGAAAAAGCGAGACTTTCCTTCACAACCAGATCTACACAGACTATGAGACCCACTCAGTTTTCTATGCGACTGGTACCAGCGGCTATTTCATAGCATGAATCTAACTACTCACCTCCATCTAGCGCCGATGTCAAGAATGCGTAAAGTTTATACATCTACTACTCGTTTTAATCTTAACAGCGCGCTGTTCAGTTGAATCAACAACTTTACCTTCTAGCCTACTAAACACACTGATTGGTACGACAGTTATCTACATCAGAATTTCGCATAGTTACTGGGTCAGAACAGTTGCAACGCGATTAAAGATCAGTACATGACGTCGTCCAACTTGTCTCCAATGGCGTGGCCCTGCTATCGCATTTTATAAACACCAAACAAATCAGTCAAGCTTTATTACAAGAGCAACTAAACGCAAGGCCAAATGCAAGGCCACGATGTAAGTACTCTCACTACTGGTGGGAATGGGCCAATTAACGACGCTGCATCTGATACACAAGTTTTTCCTTTACAGGACGATCAAGAGCAGTGAACTGCAAATCCAGTTCGTTCATAGCCAATTCAATTTTTTCACACACAGGCGTCAACTCTGGGAAGTAAACTTAATTGGTTATCGAACCGTGTACTTAAAACCTTGACAGAATTAACCAATTTATTGCAGGAACTCAAATCGGCTTTTTCAAAATCACACACCGTTATAAAATATTTTTTCATTGATATTTTCCATACCCGTCTGACCTTAATGTTCATCTACTGCGCACACAATTAGATTTTCCCACGAAAACGACAGCTTCCTTCCTCTGTTGTTAAACCGGATCTCGGCTGAATTACCTAACGAACAATGCACTAATAAATGGAAAGATTAACACGAAACCAGTAACAGAAATCAGTTTGGGTTCTAACAGGGACCGATTTAAGATGCATTATCCTTACTATAGTCAATGTACATGAAAAGGTTTCCAGTAAAACTTACAGATGTTCAATCAGGCTACATTTTGGCTAATAACAATTTTTTTCTGTGCGAAGAGACGGTTTTGACAAAACGAACACTAAATCCGCTTCATTCTCGAACATCCTCAATCTATTTATGGTGACATTTAAGATAAAATCTCCCACGAAATCAGAATCAACAGTCTGAAACACGAAGTTCACCTAAAGAATATTTTAAAATCAAATTCTTACCTCAAAAATAACACAGCGCGTATCCATTACAGAAATCAATTGGTTCATGCTGTTCAGGAATATTATTAATCTTTTTATTATAAAAATCACATGAAACACATTGCAATGGCGAGCCTAAGAAATTGCTGAATAGTACAAAGTTGTTATTGTGCTCTCGAGTGTAATAAAATCACAGAGTTTGTCACTAAACTGCGAAGTGCCCAAGTTCTCTCTTGTAAAAACAATATAAACACATGACAAAACCGAGGGCGGTCTTGAGTGCATGGCTTCGAGACAAGTGGTACAGATTTTCAAGGTCACGACTAAAATGTCTTGCAGCGTCTGGTAACAGGATGACCGGGTCAGGGAGGGAGGGGGGGGGGTCTGAGGCAGAGGGAAGGATTCTTTCCTTTCGCCACAGCGTCCACACCGTGAAGTGAACCAGGTGGAGTTTTACGCCTGTTGCCCCAAAACGCCCTCCTCCCTTCTGCTTGTGCAACAGAATCTGTGTTGTTACGACTTCATGCTGCCTTGCGGGTTAAACGACGTTTCGGAGAAACCTGTCGCCTCCATCTATAGTCACGGTACAGGACGTTGATAATCACATACAAGACTACTAACCAACTAGATGGCTTACAGAACCCGAAGGTTCCGCCGAATTAACCAAAGCCCTCCACCGGACCCTGTCTCCTTCAACTCCTATCTCACATAGATCCCGCCTGAGATTATCCTCCCATCTACGTCTAGGTCTCCCCAGCGGTCTCTTCCCCTCAGGCTTCCCAAATAGTGGACCCAACCAACCAGATGGCTTACGGAACCCG